CCGCCAGTTCTGTCAGTTTCTGTCATAACCACACCGTTACCACGCCGTCAGCTTGACTTGTTGCCACCCAGTGGCAAAAGACCCATGCACATGGACGGGTGGCAAAGGGATAAAGCAGTACAGAGCACAAGAGCGCGGGAAACCAGGAGATCCAGATCATGGTACAGTGATCCATGCACAGGTACGGATCAGTGATCCGGAAGATATGTATCACAGGGAAGTGATATGTATCGCAGGGAAGCGATACATATCACAAGGTTGATACGTAGCGCAAGATAAAATATGTAGCGCTCTGTAGACGATCTGTATCACCTACCAGTGATACGCATCACCAATACCCGGGGCCCGCACCATAGCCAGAAAGATATAAAAGGAGACCAGAAATGGTGCACCCCCCTCAGAGATGGATTAGCATACAAACTACCAGTACACCCTACACGTGCAAGCACATAGACCGACCTTCTGCCAGAGCCTTGCCACTTCCCTATAGTCTACCTCGCCCTCCTTTGATGCTTGCTCGTCACCGGTGTGCCCTCGTGCTACCTTATTGAGCAACTCAGAGACACGTACCCAGTTGGCCTTAGACGTAGAGCCGGCCCGTCCCCCCCATCACAGTTTCGTCAGTTCCGTCAGTTCTGTCACTTCCGCCTATTCTGTCAGTTCCGTCAGTTCCGTCACTTCTATCAGTTCTGTAAGTTCCGTCTGTGCCATCTGTAACAACCGTCGTTGCTCTCGGACACCGTCTCCTTTTTCGTGTCACATGATTGCCTCTCGTCTTATACTTTGCTCCCGCACGATCTCGCGCTAGGTACCTTCTGCATGCTCCATCTAGGTTGTACTCCTTGAGCTATGCCATTCTTGTCCGTCGTGGCTATGAGCTCTTACATTGACTTATCCGATTGAACCCTTCGAATAGAGAGAGTTGGTGGCGTAGTGTCCTCTGGACAGTCTCGCTCTTGCTCTGATGGCGGCTACAGCGGAAACCGCTTGGCGGCATAGGAGTTCTGCAAGATCTAGGTGCACGCTATATGTTTTGGAGAGTCGTCTAGCTTCGGCACAGCACTCTTGGTCCACCCGTGCATCGTGGATTGAGGGCACGTGTGACATGCTGGATCACCTCCATATCACCCATCAGCTCAGCGAGAGCAACACGAGTACCCGCAATGGTACCTTCCGATGGTTGGAGCGTGTGAGCATGGCGAAAAGAGTCGGCCTCGGCAGGCTTAGGAGTAGACTCGGAAGAAAGGACCTCGACTGGCTGTTTCTCACAGCGACGCTCGGATACTGAACTGCAGTTGTTGCGGTGACAGTTTCGAATGCAGGGCGTGCAGGCCTTACCAGGCTCCTGGACGCAGTTCAGCTTTGCAGGAGACTCACGGCAGTTGGTACACATGTTGTCGCCAAAGAGCTGTTTCACCAGTGTCGTGTTAGAGGTCAACCTGAGTATATGCACCTGAGAAGACACATGTGCGGAAGAGCACATGAGTTTGGGCGAGTGAGGAGTTTCGACTAGACCCTCACGGAGACGACGAGGAAGCTCCCACTCTGAGGCCGAGCTAGAGCCATCCATGGAAGCGTCGTCTGAAGGAATAAGTGGACTAGACATGACCGTGATTGGAACCTCGGGTGAAACTGGAACTGAGTTCCAGTTTTCTTGAACACCGGCCGTGTTGAGGAAATCCATGGGATATGGTCGAATGCCATTGGGAAACGCTCCTCGTATGGAGTGTTGTTACTGACAGACCATCCCTCACAGGGATTGAAGGAGTGGGCCGAGATATCACTGTCGGACAACATGTCGGCAGGTGATACAAAGGATCCAAACTTGGATAAGTCGAAACTTGGTGATGGTGACATCAAGAAATCACGGGTCGCTGCCCACTCGGGAATATCCAAGTCGGAAGGAGCGCGAGGCAGACAATGCTTGCTAAGGAACTTGAAAAGATCGAAATCGACGTCATCGAAGGTCTTCTCCGACATGGTGAAGATGTCTACGACATGGAGCTCTTCAAGACACATCAAGATATAGCTCTCGCAGGAGCTCGACACTTTTGGGAGGGATACTGTCATGCACCATACCGGCGCCTGACCTACTCCACCTGTATCCACCTGTATCCACCCATGTG